TCTTAGTAATTACCTGCATCTCGCAGAATAATTTAGTAATGCACTATGTGCACTACAGTTTTCCACGGACTAAACGGACCAAATAAGGTTCCTAGAATGAAATAATGCCTTAAAAAGTTTACAAGCCATAAAAAAGTCTCCATTCATTAGGGCAGCAAACACGACGCAAAATATATAAGTCCTGTTAACTCTTATCGATTGTTTGAAAAACCAATATTGTGCACAGTTTAATTGCAATTTTTGTTAAATCAAAGTGTACCATTATTTTTATCTTACACAAATGTAAGCAACTCTATTGCAAAAAATGCCGAAAAATTAAGACCAGATTAATTTCCAGACTTGGAAAAAAGATTTTTAAGAATATACTTAATAAATTTATCTTTTATTTCTCGAATCGCATCGACGATACATCTAGCTATAAAAATATAGCTCTGCATATATATATGATATAAATGATTTTTCATGCATAAACAATGTAATTAATATATGTAATTGTTGTTAAAACCATAACTCTAGAAAAATAAAAAAATATTTTGTCTTAAAAAATTCAAGTGGGAAACTAATTAGAACTAGTGGTAACATAAAAATTTTAAGTGGGAACTAGTGGGAAACTAGTGGGAACAAGTGGGAACTAGTGAGAAACTAGTGGGAACTAGCGGGAACTAGTGGGAACTAGTGGGAACTAGTGGGAACTAGTGGGAACTAGTGGGAACTAGTGGGAAACTAGTGGTAAACTAGTAAGAACTAGTGGGAAACTAGTGGGAAACTAGTGGGAAACTAGTGGGAACTAGTGGGAACTAGTGGGAACTAGTGGGAACTAGTGGAAAACTAGTGGGAAACTAGTGGGAACTAGTGGGAAACTAGTGGGAAACTAGTGGGAAACTAGTGGGAACTAGTGGGAAACTAGTGGGAAACTAGTGGGAAACTAGTGGGAACTAGTGGGAACTAGTGGGCAACTAGGGGGAAACTAGTGGAAAACTAGTGGGAACTAGTGGGAGCTAGTGGGAACTAGTGGGAACTAGTGGGAAACTAGTTGGAACTAGTTGGAACTAGTGGGAACTATTGGGAACTATTGGGAACTAGTGGGAACTAGTGGGAACTAGTGTGCAACTAGTTGGAACTAGTGGGAACTAGTTGGAACTAGTGGGAACTAGTGTGCAACAAGTTGGAACTAGTGGGAACTAGTGGGAACTAGTGTGCAACTAGTTGGAACTAGTGGGAAATAGTGGGAAACAAGTGGGAACATTCAAATTTCAAGTGGGAACTAGAGGGTACAAGTGGGAAACTAGTGAGAATTAGCGGGAAATAGTGGGGAATTTTTTCACCTTTTTTGATAATTTTCGACAATCATTGATAACTGTCGACAAACTTGCATCTCAAACAAGATAATTGGGGTTGGGGGGGGGGGAACTCTGTGTACGCCATGAATTGAAGACGCCAATATTAACCCATTAATACCGACCTCGACCAGCTCCCCAGGATTACATGAAATTTCAAGGACAGCTTCCTTTGGGTCCTTAAGAATTTTTTGTTTCCAAACTCTTTTGCTAAAATGCATAGCGCAAAACTTTTTTTGCGTCTATATCAACGCATTTGGATTAACCTTTTATGGTACATGTCCATAATATGTCCTAATATTAACATATATAGACAAATATGCAGACACATATAGAAAAATATACAGACACATATACATAGACAAATATATAGACACATAGATAGACAAATATACAGACACATATATAGACAAATATAAAGACATATATTTAGACAAATATACAGACTCATACATAGACAAATAAAAACAAAACACATGTATAGACAAATATACAAACACATATATAGATATACATATAGACTAATATACAGACACATAGATAGACTAATATACAAACTCGTATATTTACAAATATACCGACACGTATAAATAATTATATAGACAAATATATAGTCTAGACGACAGTTATTTTAGGGAGATAACCAAAATTCTACTCCGGGTTAATGTGAACACTCAAACCTGATTTTTTATTATTTTCACTTGCGGCATTGAATAGATATTAGAACGCTATATATATATATATCAACAGACGCATAAATAGACAAATAAACAAACTCGTATAAAGACAAATATACAGACACATATATATAGAAAAATATACAAACATATGTAAATAAAAAAAATTTGACGACACATCCATATATATTGACGGATGTTGGCTTCCACCTCACTGGCCCTCCCCCCCCCTCTGCTGTTCCCTCTCTACTATCCCCNCCACTGACATATAAAGAAGATAAAAAGGTGCGCAGTTCTAAACTATTCAAATATTCTCCCCTTCAGAACATACAATTAGTGTTAATGTGGGTGCGCAGTTCTAAACTATTCAAATATTTCTGGCATACAGAATACATATACAGGTTTATATGTCTCATGTATTTTGTGAAAACAACATTGAAGCAGGTGTCTCAAAAAAATGATATTTTGAAACTAAAGTCTTTCGACCTTCCTGTCCCTAAACTTTATGCAGGTAAAGGAGTTTAATTTACGTTGCATATTTGTTCAGCAAGAACACAAATTCAATCTTTAAAATCCTCATAGCTCGTTCATTTGGAGGGATGATTTTGAGAAATTTTTTTTTCATTATTTATTAACAACGACGAAAAAAGTATCAACAAACTTAGAGTAAACTAACTGTATTTTTAAGAACATATTTCTCAAAAGAAAGGAACTGAGTTCTTGTTACAAACATACATTTTCTAATAACTATATCTTTGCAACCTGTGGTGTAGTCCTCTGACATTACAAACTCAGATGAATTTAATAGTTTTAAATATCAAAGGTCTACTATATGGGTTGCACAGATACAGAGATTGAAGAACAGAGCGTGTTGCAAGAATTAAGAAATCAATTTCTTTTTCGATAAATCAATGCTAGAATAGATTATTTATATCATTTTCATCATTAAATTGAATTTCTTTTTCTTTGAGAATTTGTTCGCAGATTTCTTCAAATTCTTAAAATGTCTTCTGTTCAATGAAAATTTCAGAAAATCTAGGAAAATGTTTGTGAAAAATGAGACATATACAGAAATATATAGAATAAGATTTAGAGAATAAGAGTTATTTGTTTGTTCTTAATCCGAACATAAACAACTACATTTGTTACATTTTTTGTGGTCATCCGTGAATAATTAAAAAAAAACGACTCCCAAAATCATCACTCCAAAATACATTTAATCTAGGTAAGGATTTGAAAGATTGAAAGTGCTCTTGCTGAACAAATATGCACCGTAAAACCTTCTCATAGGTCTCCAATGAATCCTAATAAATAAATAGCCACTCCTTAAAACAAATGTTGAAATAGATATTTTTAGTTACTTCTCTAATAAGTCAAGAAGTTTAACGCTTAAAATCAATATTGTAGCAAAGATGCTACAATAAAAAAGGAGGAATTAGCTTTTCCAGAAAATCTAAATCTAATATTTCCTCCGAAACAAAATAAATATACAATACTTGTAAGGCGAAGTCAAACCTTACACTGTAAATATACATCAGGAATATTTTTTAAAATTTGTTTCTTAATTTAATTTTTTTAATATAATATTCAAAAATTATGTTTATTTGAAAACTAAAAATATTTTTTCCTTTTATTAAGTTTTTTGTAAAAGATATGTTTTTTCAACAAATGAAATTTGAAAAATTACAAAAATTTTGTANATTTTATATTATTTATTTGATTTTCAAATCACAATTTAATTATAGTTATATTTTAAATTAAATATCAAATGCATGGTATTTCATGTTATTAAGTATGGAGTATTTCAATGAATTTTTATATTTACTGTATGTTATAATTTTTTTCCTCAGTACAATAAGTATAAATAATCTTTTCTATGGTAAATGCGCACAAACTGCATGTGAACAAGGGTGGGGCTGTAGGGAGGGAGGGGGGGAGGGGACAGGAGAATACCAAATGCTATTTTGTACTGTTTACGTATTTATTCAATAAATCTTATTTAATTACCAATTTGTTTTTTTCTGTTTGTGTTTTTATTTAATTAACTTAATATGTGTATAATTCATGTGGAAGTTTTTTGAAATTATTAAAAAAATCTGAATAGTTTATCCAGAAATTTTGATTCGAGAGCTGCCGCATTTGGCCGCTAGGTGGTGTCTACTCTAAAATGGAGGCGGCGCGAATATGTATCCTGAAATTGTTATATTTTTATCCAATTTTTCTTAATAATAATGACTCGCATTATTAACAGTTTTAAAAATATTGTTCTGCATTCAGTTTTTCTTATAAAAATATTAAAAAAATGTGGATTTTTTTTTATTTGCGCCGTTTTCAAAATATTCAAAATTTATGGATAATTTATTAAGAAAAACTGCTGTGATATTTTTTTCCAAAAATTCTTATTTTTGTATTACGTTTTAATATTTACAGTGTATAGAAATCCAACGTATAAAAACAGCTACGTATAGCAACAAGGCGTATTTTCCGGGAGAACATTTTTATATTTTTGAGAAATTAAAAGTTTTTGTAAAACATTGTATTTTATCATTATCATTATCATAATTTCTATTTTTTTAACATACCCTAGACATTAAAGGAGCAAAATAGTGTGCTTAAGGTCAGCAGATTTCATTATGTACTGTCAACATAAATGAATGATTATTTGGTTATACATAAAATTGCATTTTACTATTTAAAAAAATATTTTATAAAAATGCTATCTACAGTTTTATTTTTAGAAAAAAGGAAAATTATGAGGTGAGAAAAGGTTCGGATAAATTAAGTAACGACTCAATTTCAAATGAAAAAAGGGAAACAAACTCGGATTATGATTTGTAAAAAAATGTGTAACCATTCAGAGCAAAGAATGTTTGATATTTGTTTCTAAACTAAAATATTAAAAAAAAATATACTGAATTTAAGTTTATAATTGAATAAAAACTATTTTCTTTAGTTCACTCCTCTACTTCAGTCATAAAGTCTTTAATCTATTTAGAATCTCATACTTGAAGTAAACTCTCACAAGATCCCAAACCTTCTCTAGTTTGCTAACTTTTATATGGCTAATCTCGGGTCCAGTAAGGTAGACATGTTCTCCTGTAGGCTGGTTTACTTAGTTTCATCTAACAATCTTGTTCTCTGTCCTGTGGTAGTTTACATTTCTGACAGTGACATTGAATCAGTTTATAGTATTCCAGTTTATTTTGTCAGTTCCACGTATTGTAATTTACATTTCTCACATTTAATTCATTAATTTTATTCTGTTTTTTTAGAGGTTTGCGCTGTACATAGAAAAGAACTGTCAAACTATTTTTTTGTGTTTTTCATTTTCTTCCAGAAATCGAAAATGTGTCATTTACTCTCAGACAAATTAGAATCAATGGACGCCCTCGGGTGTATCATTGAATCCCGAGGGGGTTTAAATTTCCATTGATTCTAATTTGTCTGAGAGTAAATGACATTCCTTTTTAAAGAGGGGATTCAATGATAAACCCGAGGGCTTGCGGATTTTGCGGATTTTTTTTGCCTTTGTATAAAGGAATGGGTATTCTATTATTCTCCAAAGTTTCATAAATGTCTATTAATAAATATGAGTGCATTTATGCATATGCAAGTCCGGTTTTCTTACTTGCCCTGTAAATAGATAGATCGCTGACTGGCTGGATATATGAATATATAAAGATAGATAGATAGATAGATAGATAGAGAAGTAAAGGGGGGGGGGCTGGAAAGGGGGGGGCCAAAATTTTTTTCGCGCTTCGCGCGAAATATTTCCCCCTAGCCCCCCTCTAACCAAATGTCTAGTTGCGCGCCTGAGTATAAGTTGTACTTGAGTAGAGCGTGTTTGTAGGTTAGTATTAATATTATTTTAGTATTTTTGGTTTTTGTCTCAGAAACTATCTAAAAATTGATCATTTCTATATTTGGTCTCTCTGTAAAAATGACTCGGATATTTATGTAAAGACGAAATTTGTCCAGGGCCTTATACAGGATTTTGTCTGGAGAGTTACTTGAAGTTAAATCTCTTTTCTTTAAAGTTTTAATATTTTACTCCATATTACTATGGAGAAAATACCCCCCTTCTTATATAAGCAGAATATGTTTAAAGCATATTCTGCTTATATAAGAAGGGGGGGGGGAGGTGTTCATTTTTGTAACTTTTTTCTTGAGACTTTACATCTTCTTAAGCAAAATCTCAAGAAAATAGCTCAAAATATGACGGCATCACCCGCAACCTCAAGCGTTAGATACCTGCAGGCACATAAACTGAATTTTAGCCAAGACGGGGGCAAAATTCGATGTTACGTACTTTCCCAAAGATTTTTCCCAAGTGGAAACTTCCCAAGGGTATTTTTCCAAGTGGCAACTTCCCAAGGGTATTTTTCGAAGTGGCATCTTCCCAAGGGTATTTTTACAAGTGGCAACGCCCCAAATGTGCAATTTCCCAAACAGCAACTTTCCAAGTTGTCCTAGCCTCAGCGCTCAGCCCTCGATCTGTTCTTGCCGTGGCGCTTTGCCCCCTAGCCCATCCTAGCTGCTGCGTACGGCCAGAATTTAGCCTGCGGCGCCTCAGAGGGCCTAACCTAACCTTTGGGAAGTTGCCGCTTGGGAAATTGCACATTTGGAAAGTTGTCACTTAGGAAATTGTCACTACAGAAGTCGCCCTTACCGACCCCTGGATGATTTTTGCCCTCAAAGACAATAAGCACCGTCCATGACATTCCTTAAAGAGAAGAAATTTTTTTGTTTTATTTTATTGTTTATTATTTAATGCATAAGGACTTCCAAATAAACATAAGGACTGCCAAATAAACATAAGGACTGCCAAATAAACATAAGGACTGCCAAATAAACATCCAAATAAACATAAGGACTGCCAAATAAACATAAGGACTGCCAAATAAACATAAGGACTGCCAAATAAACATGAGAATTAACAACTTTTGAAATTGTCTTCAATCAACTTTAAATTCTTTCAAAGGCAAATGCAAAAGGCAAAATTTTGAGAAAAATAGCAAATATTTTAAACTCGTTTCCTGGGGGGGAGGGGGGCAATGCCCATGAAGGGGCAGGAGCACTACTGTTCTCCCTGTGGACGCCTATGTCCCTATTTAACAATTATATAAACGGAAAATGCGAGTTCAGAGTCAAGAGTTGTCATAAATATTTAAAGTCCACTTTATATCTATAAACAGTTTTCATGGCAGACACACTTTAAAAAAAAAATTTTAATTAAAAAGGCTTTTTGTTTTTACTTTGCTCGACATATTTTTAATTACAAAGGAACTATGATTTTCTAATCCTTATATCTTTGCAATCCAATCATAGACCTTATATATTTTAAATTATGTTTGCGCAAAATATCTAAGTTTGAATTATCAAAGGTTTACAACATTACTAGGTTGTGAAGATATAGGAACTAGAAACTTATTGATTAAAACTTTTGAATAATAATTTTCTTAAAACATTCTTTAAAAAGAGAATATTTGCAAACTATCTTTTTTCCATTTCATGATCTGAGTTTTGTCCATTTAACAGCCCATTTTTTTAAATAATCTTTTTTGTTTGTTAATTTTCTTGTGGTTTTTTAACATTTTTTATTATCGATTTTTATGGTTATTATAGCGTTAGAACTGAGGAGGGTCAACCCAAATCGGAATATTTTTCTATAAAATGTGGAATTAACTTCCTCTTTAGAGGTTTGGACCATTATTTTAACCCTATTTGGCCTGAGGGGTGAGGGGTTCAATTTTTTTGCGATAAATCAAAAAATGTTTTAGCCAGGAAGCCAGGTTTTTCTAACTAACACATGGCCTCACAAAAGGCTAAAAGCTGGGCTTTTATAACTTAATGCCTTATTTTACCTTTACCAGACTAAATCTATATTTAGACCTATTTAAAATTTCTTAGCTCTTTGGAAAGCCTATAACAAAAGAAAGTAGAAGTAGCACAATTTTTGCAAAGATATTTTGCACAGAGTTTTGCATAGACGCCTTAAAAGGGAATTTGCACATGTTCATTTTTTGCTTAAATACACATTTAGGATTTAAAAATTTTGCAATTTTTTTTTCACGTTCGCATTTGCTGTCTGAAACGCTTTTTTTAAAAATGCAAAGTTTGGTGCAAGTTGCGCAGTTTTTTGCTAAAACTATTTGGATTTTTGCAAATTTGCCTTTTTTTGTCAAATTAATAAAGTAGAGCCCAAGGGCTTTTCAAAAACGTATCAAATGTTTTTATCAAATGGTTGCAAAGTCATAGAAATTGTCTCTACCTACATACATCTGAAAAAATAATAATGTAACCACATCACATATGTATTAGAAAATATTGATCTAAAGGTTGCAAGTTCTCGAGCAAAATTTTGCCAGTTACTTCTTAAAAACTGAAACAAAAAACAAGTTTTATATAATTCTAAAATGCACATGTCTACTGTCTAGGGCTACGAAAAGTAATTCAGTGAGTTAATAAGGTAAAATCAAAGGCTGCAGGGCGTTGCAACATTTCATAGTTTACTCGGTCTTGAACATTTTTTTTCTAGCTGTCTGGATCTATTTGAACTAATTTAAAGTTATTGGGGGCCAGGAGGGGGGGCAAAATAGTTTTTCGAAAATACAAAGAAACAACTACAAAGAGGTACAGAAAAACTATGAACATTGTCTGTATAATTTGTGTTTTAATATACTTTAAAACTCTCCTAATATTTGTTAATAAGTTAACTTAATAATTTTCCTAATATTTGTTAATTACTTAACTTGATAACTCTCCTAATATTTTTTAATTAGTTAGATTTATAACTTTCCTGATATTTTTTAATTAATGAACTTAATAACTTTCCTAATATTTGTTAATTAATTAACTTGATTTCTTTCCTAATATTTGTTAATTAATTAACTTAATAACTTTCCTAAAATTTGTTAATTAATTACTCAATAACTTTCTTAATATTTGTTAATTACTTAACTTAATAACTTTCCTAATATTTTTTAATTAATTAACTTAATAACTTTCCTAATATTTGTTTATTAATTAACTTAATAACGTTCCTCATATTTGTTAATTAATTAGCTTAATTACTTTCCTAATATTTTTTAATTAATTAACTTAATAACTTTCCTAATATTTGTTAATTATTTCACTTAATAACTTTCCTAATATTTGTTTATTAATTAACATAATAACTTTCCTAATATTTGTTAATTAACCAACTTAACAAATTTCCTAATATTTGTTAATTAACTAACTTATTAACTTTCCTAGTATTTGTTTATTAATTAGCTTAATAATGGTCCTCATATTTGTTGATTAATTAACTTAATAATTTTCATTATATTTGTTAACTAATTAACTTAATAACTTTCATAATATGTGTTAGTTAATTAACTTAATAACTTTCCTAATATTTGTTAATTAATTAACTTAAAAACTTTCCTAATATTTGTTAATTAATTAACTTAATTACTTTCCCAATATTTGTTAATTAATTAACTAAATAATTTTCCTAATATTTATTAGTTAATTAACTTAATAACTTTTATAATATTTGAAGGATCTTAAATAAGATGAGAACACTTTTTGTTCTTTTTATCTTTATTGCCGGAACTGCTGCAGAGTGCTGTCAAAAAAGAAGGGTAATAATAATAAGAATAACAATTTTAACAATAGTAATAGTTTGATTTTCACTCCTTTTTAAATCTGTCAAATTACTTTTTTGTACATTACAATGCACTTTAAATTAACATTTTTTCCTATACTTTTGCAATACATTTTATAGAAAGATTAAAGTTTTTAATTCATTTTATATAAACTAAATGCAAATGTTTAATTTGTTCTCTTATTCTTGCTTAGTTTTACTTATACATTTTTTACAATTACTATGCAATTTAACATAAATAAACACATAATTTGTATATACATCAGATTGAGCCAGGTTTGGGAACATTTGTCTTCACTACAAAGCTAAGCCTACCATTTCCAGCAGGCTGTCATAACAACTGCGGGTACCTCATGGAGGGGGATACTAGAGGTATAAATTAATATCAATAATTTTATATTTGAAGAGTTGTCTTTTTCTTTATAAATTTCCAACCTGATATAATAATATAATAATTGATAATACCATATCAGAAGTAAATGTAAGAGAAAAATGAACACAGTCCCAGGAATTTATTAATAATCATGTAACATAAAGTCTTTATAAACATATTAAACCCTTTCTGGATGGGGGTGTTCTGTTTACCACCCCCCCCCCTTATGTTTTTTTCTTATTAACTTAAAAACGGCTTACATTAGATTGCTAACACTTTTTTAATAATAGGCTATTTCAATTGTGAACATCTTCATGGATTCCGTTAACAAATTTGCGGATTTTGAAAATTTTACAAAATTTTACAAAATAAAAAATGTTTAACACAAATTTTTTAATTTTGATCATTTACAAACCTATCTGGGATGATGCGAAGTGCCACAAAAAATTTGGGCCCGATCACTGATCAGTTCAGCCGTTTTGACGTTTATTGGATTCAAACAGATAGACAAGCAAAGTATATATAAAGATTAATTTTGCTAAAAAAATTTTTGTTGATGCATAGGGTAGGGTGGAGAACAGTCAAACGGAGGGTTGGTGTTTCAAAAAATTATTAATTTACCCTATAAAAGCTGGGGGGTCTGAATCTTGGCCAGCTCAAAGAAAACAAAGTTAGACCGATAACTTTAATTAATGTTGTCTTACATGAAGTTAAACAGTTGTAGGGAATCTGAACCTTCTTGATATTTTCTTATAAACTACTCAATGATAAGTACAGATGCCCTTCAGGTCTGTTTCCTCTCTTCGTTAATGATCGTTAAGGAAGGGTTGTTGTTAACGATCTCTAACAAAGGCTCGTCGTTTGTCGTTGACAATTGTTAACGAAGAGTTGTCGTTAACGATTGTTAACGAATCTATGAGTTTTATAAAAACAACCATTTTGTAAAACGATCGTTTTTAAAAACGATCATTTTAAAAACGACCATTTTTAGAACACAAACTTTTATAAAATACGATCGTTTTTAAAAACAATCGTTTTGTTTTGGATTTTTCGTCATCGTTTTCAAAACAAAACGATTAACATCACTAGTCATAAGTAAAACTGTTTTTGAAAAAAATTGTTTGACATACTTTTTGAACTTTTTTATATCCTCCCTTAAACCCTTGCCATTAAAGTTAGAGGTAGAAGCTGAACTAGGGACATGTAACATACTCTCCTATCATAGGGGGTGTGGGTGTGGAAAATACCCCCCCCCCACTATACTAGACAAAAATAGCCCAAATGGGATAAGGTTAAAGATATTTTGAATCAATAAATGCGGATGCTGGATTTCTGCAAGTTGATTTTTTTTACATTGTTGGAATAAGATTTTAACAACTCTTTTTTTCATTTATTATATTATGTCACAAACTTATATTGTTTAACCTTTGAGGTTACAACATGTTAAACTCTAACACTTTGTTTTAACTGAATTATAATATTTGAAAAATGGAAAGAAAGTTTGTTCAGCAAATAAATTATTGTTTATTTTTCAAGTATGTTAACGGTCTGATCCATAAATTGCGAACAATCATTACAATTTTAAATAATTCGTTTTTAGTTTTCTTAAAAACACAATTGTTTTTATTTTTTAAACCATTCAATTCCTTTAATTGTTCATTTTATAATTTTTTTCTGAATGACACCATATAATTTGTGACATTTAAGTGAAGTCAACACCACAATTTGTTCTTGGCTCAAGGACTAAACAAATTCATACCAAAAACAAGACACTAATTTATCTCTACAAATATAAACTACTTTAAAATAAATTGATCTTTCTTGATATTTTTCATCAGAACTTAACAAATGTATTGACCTCCCTGATATATTTCTAGGGTTTCCAGTCGTAATTACGTTACGCGTAATTACACGTAATTACGCGTAATTACGCGTAACACTTTCTTTCACTTACACAGGAGCATTTTGCGTAATTACGTGTTTATTACGTTTACGAAAGAAAGTCTAGTTTCGCGTAATTAATGCGTAATTACGCGAAATTACGTAATACGAAATAATTCCGTAATAAATAAAGTACAAATTAATTATCAGAAATAATTATAGTGGGAAAGTATGTGTAAGGATATGCCCGCTACAAACAAATTTTGACGATTTTATTGACATTTTTTTTCAAACAAGGAAGGTAAACTTGAGAAAGTAGGTTGAAATATTAACAAGTCGTCGAAAATAAAAAATTTATAGATTATGTATTTGTTTGATAAAAATAAATTGTTGGCCCTTTGTTAAACTTTTTAGTTGTCGACCGTGAAAATTACATCAACATATATTGGCTGAAATTCTGATTCAACTTGCGTGACATTATTTTCCTTGTAAGTTAGTTGTTTTATCTAAATTAAAAGTTAAAACTTCAAAATTTCATAGATGTAATTATTGCAAAATTTCGCAAAATTACTTTGTAGAAATTACGCGAAATTATGGCGTAATTTCGCGAAATTGAAGTTTCGCTAATTAAGGGTAATTAATACAAAATTTCGCGAAATTACATTGTAATTATAGTTTTGCTTATTACGCGTAATCAATGCAAAATTAAGTTATAGAAATTACATTAAATTACGCTGTAATTACGCGTAAATATAGTTTCGCTTATTACGCCGTAATTTCGCGAAATGGATATTTCCCCAATTTCGCGTAATCCTGCGAAATTACACGAAATGAAAATTATTACGCGTAACTGCACGTAATTACGCGTTAGAGAATAATCTATTACGTTGGAAACCTTATATATTTCAGAAGAAATCTACTGTTTTGATGATGCTCCAGCAACAACTGAAGAGGTAACAATTCCCCCTTTTTTTTAAAAACGACTGACAACGAATAACAATCGTTTTTATAATAGGATTAGCAACCATTTTTTATACGATTGTTTTTTTTTTATAGAAACGGTAATTTTTGAAAAAACAATATTTTTGAAAAAAAATTACATGCAACTTTATTGAATGTTGTCTTAAATGAAGGTAAAAATTGTGGGGGAACTAAAACTTAATAATATTTTCTTTAAAATGATAAAAATCGATGCCCTTCAGGTCGGTTTCCTCTCTCCTCCTCTTTTTGTTAATAATCATTAAAAAAGAGTTGATGTTAACGATCATTATCAAAAGGTCATTGTTAACGATCATTAGATCATTTTAAAGAATTTCTAGAAGATTGCAACAGTGTAAAGATGTTAAAATATAAAAATTGAGGTTTATAAAATTGGAGAAAAAAATAAAATTTCATGTGATCTTAATTTCTTTTATGGAGTTGCATGTCTGGCTTTCATATACAAGAAATAAAAAGCCTGGTATTTACAAATTATCAATTAGATAAAAGTTTAAAGGGTACCAATTGGGAATAGCCCTCTTTAAATGGAGTATCAATTAAAATTATCATCATGTTATCCTAGATAAAAATATAAAACAAAATTTAACCAAAAACTATTAATTTAAAAACGCAAAATTATCAACAATTGTTTTTGCCTTATATTTTCTTCTAGCCAGGTGTAAAAATTTGCATGTTTGATAATAGCAAACTTTTACAGAATACAGTTTAAAAATGTTAAAAACCTTCTCAAATTTTAAATTCTTAAAGCATCAAAAGCTTCAGTAAAACGAAAATTGGCTATATACCACCATACAGAGATGGACAAATTTTTCAAACAATTTTAAAAATAATGTTTTTCATGTTGAAAATTCGTTTTGGAGATTACTATAAACATCTAAATAGAATTTTTATTTGGAATGAAATGTTTACTATTCAGAAAGACACTGGGATACTACTTATTATTCAGGGTAAGTAAAATTAATATTTTTATTAATTACTGTATGAAGTTTATTCTAGTAAACCCTAAATAGGCTTCCCTGTATTTTTTTGGAGCCCTTACAAAACTTATCTAACAACAAAACTTATCAAAACAAAACTTATCATCACGAAACTTATCAAACTACAAAACTTATTAACCACAAAACTTATCAAAACAAAACTTATCATTACGAAACTTATCAAACTACAAAACTTATCAAACTACAAAACTTATCAAACTACAAAACTTATTAAACTTAAAATATATTATAATAACTACAAATTTCATTTTTCAAAACATTTTTAAAAGTTGTTACAACTAAAACTTGACTTAGAATTTATATATATAAATCATTATTCATTTGCTAATAGGCTGGCAATATTGAACAAATATGTGTTCAAGGGTACACTATCAAAGCTTGCACACATAACCTTCAGGTCTTGTTCTTGTTCTCTTTGTATTTGTTGTACAGATGATTTCCGTCATCCTTAAGTAAGTTTGTACCCTTCTGTGATAGAACAAAATTAGCATCCATCTCGGTTGAAAGGGGCTGGGAAACTGAGAGTTCACCGAATTTTCTCTTAAAATTCGCGGATTTTTAAAAACTTGTTGGAACATTTCCATGATTTAAAAATTTAGATTCATGAATTTTATTGATAAGTTTTGAGTTTGATACGTTTTGTAGTTTGATAAGTTTTGAAGTTGATAAGTTTTGTTTTGATAAGTTTTGTAGTTTGATAAGTTTTGTAGTTTGATAAGTTTTGTAGTTGATAAGTTTTGTTTTGATAAGTTTTGTCGCTGATAAGTTTTGAAAAGATAAGTTTTGTGGTGATAAGTTTAGTGACAATATGTTTTGTATGGGCTCCATTTTTTTTTGTCCTAGCACTCTCATTTTTGACAATGTCATAATAAAAAAGTGCAACTTTTAATTATTAATAATTTAAAGGATTTTTGTAAAAAAAAAACTTTTAATGCACAGGGATGGGTACAGGAACAAAAAAGTTCAGTTTTTGGAGAAAAAATCTAAAATAGCCCATAACTTTTTTGTGACTAAAGCTACAAATATAAAAACTATATTTTTGAAAAGCCCTTTAAAAGTGGATGTAGAAACATGTGTCTCGTTTTGATATGTTTTTAAAACAAACAAAAAAATATTTTTTTTTTTTTTTTCAGAACCTTTTTTTTGGCTTTATTTTCAACCCTCCCTAGCACCTAAACTACTAGAGTTATTGGTCTCATTTTTTTTTCAATGAGCTAGCCTTGACAAGGTTATATATAGATTCAGACCCCCCCCCCCAGCCTATAGAGGGTTAAGTAAATAGAAGTTTGTAGAAGATTAATAGGTTAATGAAGTTGTAAAATCAAAACCAAAGTGGGGGAAAATTATTTTTTCCCTGATTTTTCCCGCTTTTTTCAGAGATGTTTTTTAAAGTCATTAACATTGGATCAGGAAATTCTATTGGCCTTTAGGAGGGGGAAAATGCAGGAAAGTGGGGGGGGGGATGGTTTAAACAGAGGGGGAAATGCAATATAGAGTCCAAAATTGCGTTTCCTGACCCAAAGTTAGTGAATTTAGATACCACATGTGGACCATCACCAGGGGCGTACAGTTTTTCAAGCAAAGGAATAATTTTTAGACTCTAAGGTTAGTAACACCCAAAAAAGTAGTCTTTTTGGTGTATTTTTATGGTGAACAAAATAAGTACAGGTGGGAGAGGGGGGGCAAAAAAAATTTAAAAAAGGTATTAATATTTTTTCAAAAAAGGGGTTTTTAAGGGGGGGGACCAAAAAAATTTTTTGCGCGCTTACGCACGCAAATTGTGCCCCCCCCTAAACAAAAGCCCTCGTACGCCCCTGACCATCACAAAGTTTTTGAGAAAATGGCCGAAAAAAGCAAGACTTTTTTATCCCCAAAGTGTGTTGTTTGATTCAAAAACTAGATCAAAATTCAGGTCTGCATGTAAAAAGTCAGAGAGAAATTTCAAATAATAAAGTCGGAAGGCTTCTTTGGCCTTTAGAAGGGGAAAATGCGGAAAAGGGTAGAGAAATGGTAAAAAGAGAGGCGGAAATTCATTATAGAGCCCAGAATTGAGTTTCCCGATCCAATGTTGATGACTTTAGACACCCCACATGTACCTATCACAAAGTTTTTGAAAAAATGGGGGAAAATTATATTTGCCCCACATTGGTTTTTGATTAAAAAACTAGATCACAATTCAGGCCTGCATGCAAAAAATCAGAGAGAAATCTATAAAAATAAAGTCAGAAGCCCCCCCCCCCCCTCAGCCTTTGTATAGAATGTGGAAATCCCCCTTTTGTACTTAGGTCCAAACTCAGATCAGAGTCATGAATGTGACATCACACCGGTTGATCTAGTAGAGTTAAATTCAGGAGGAGGTAGGAATAACATGAAATTTATCAAGAATACATAATTTCTCATTTTTTTCAATGTGAAAATGATGCAAAAATTGTTATGAATCAGTTTTCTGTTAAGTTTATGATGTTTTCTAAAACATTGTTTGTTTCCAATCAATAAATAAATCAATAAATCAAGTAAACTACAAGGTCACAAATTTTTAAAGAAATGATCGAGAAATTTTGTATAAGTTTGACCTTATTCTACGGTTTAGTTAGCATAGCAGTGCCATTATTGATTCTATTCCTTATTTGCATGTATTATTCTTTACTCATATATTCATCCACCTATTCATTCTTACTCACATCTACATGTTTTTTCCAAAAAAAAATTGTATTTTTTCTTAGCTAACTTTAACAATGTTTATCTAACAAATAATTATTATTTAGTAAACTGGGAAACCATTAAGCTACCGGAGAAGATCGAAGCTCAGCAAGGCAACCCTTTTATTCTTACAATTTTTTTAAACAACATATTTGTATATATTATGATTTTAAAATTTACATTTGCTTAGTACATCATAAAAGGAGATTATACACAGGTGTAAATGATCACTTACTTATCCATGATATTCCCGGCTCTCCTATTGATCCGGATGAATTCAGGTAGTTTAATCCTAGTTTCATTAATTTATCAAGGAGAACATCATATTAGTAGATGTACCTCCCACTCTCTGTTAAAACCAGCTGTTTCTTTGGCCAATTAACTGCAAATCACTGCAGCAAGCACCAAAAGCTCAGTTGAATAGTAACTACTGATATGTACATATTATTATATAATCATAGTACAGAAATTTGTAATGTTTAAAAAGCGCAAAACTTTTACTCTTCCCCATTGAAATGTGGAAATTGTTAAAAACCCTTAACAGTAAAACCAGAGTTTTAGATTTATGGAGTTGCAATATAGCAGCCAATACTCTGGTAAGTTTTAAATGATCTGTCACAAAAACTATTTATTGAAAGCATGCAACTTTTTGACTTTTCAACAATGTACTCATTACAGGATGCATAGATAAAAGTAAATTAAGTAGATTAAAAAGTAGATTAAACACACTGGGTCCACGACACAATGGATTCCCAGATAGACTGGTAGAAGTTAATGAGTATGTAATATGAGTACACTAGACCAGAAAATCATTGTATTATACTGGTAAGGATCATTCAAGTGCAACAATTGGAGCCATGAACAGCTATTTTTCACTTAATTTCTCACAAAAACTTCCTTTAAACATCAACATTTAGAGCATCTGAAAATTTGGGCGATGAATTCTTTGGTAAAGACAACCACAATGATCCTATTGAGAGTGCTGGTCTGTTTGAGGGTGATATTGATAATGTTTCTATGAATGGACTTTTCAAAATCAAAGGATTAAAGGTGAGTGCTAATATTTTTTTTCATAAGCCCAAAGTAAACATTTTCTTTTATCTCTAACACCTGGAATAAACATATCTCTGAATCTCACTAACCATGAGTAAGCATGTTCTCAAATTTCATGAATGGAGTGAGTGAACATATATATTCTGAATTTCTTAAACCTGGAGTAAACACATTCTTACATCTTCTGAACCTGGGATGATTATATTCTTAAATCTCCATACCTAGACTAAACCTAGGATTATGGAATTATAAGGGAGATGGAGATGACATGTGTGACACTTTTGGATTACATGATATAAAAAAAAGTCAGACAATATTAAAAGAATAAAAAAATTACTTCCTCAAACTGCTTATTCTTGAATTTGCTTTCTGTTTAGATATATTCAGTAACCTTCTTAAAACTTAAACCCTTACAGCCTGCCCTTCCAGTTTTTAAAGGTTGTATTTCAATTTTTAAATGTGGTTTTTGCTATACCATTTTAAACAAAACTAATTTTTTTATATTATAAAAAATAAGCTTGTATATATTTTCTCAAAAATATGTATATCTGTTTTATTTTTTCCTTGTTTAATGTATATAATCTATTCTGATACATGTTTGTGGTATTTGTACATTAGTCAAATATTTGATATTTAAATGGAATATCATCTTCAGAGCATGTATTGTATAATCATATGGTTGAGCAGGCCGTGTCATTTCCATCTCCTTTATAATCCTATACTTCTTGGTTTACTCATATCTTGAGTCTCACATACATGGATTAAATAAGTTCTGAAACTAATAAACCTGGAGTAAATACTTAAGGAGACTTCAGACATAATTTCTTGAGACCCTCCATCTGCAAAATGGAATGTTTAATTCTTTGAAAATACTTCCTTCTCATTCTCTGTTGTATACATCCACAGTAATATTTTCAGAGAAATCTCAATTTTAAGTAATTAATTCTGTCTAATAAAAAAAGGATATCTCATTTGTTAGTGATCAGAAAATAGCTGAAACGGTGAAGATGTAAATCTGGCATTCCACTCAACTGAAATTTCATCAAATGTTTTGATTCATTTTATTTCCTTATATTATTTTTTTATTCTAGAATGCTCTCAAAGACGGCTCACGAAAGGAACACTTCTTAAACAACTAATTTAGAAAAGTAACAACTGAAAGAAATATTTTTGAGAATTTTAATTTGAGAAAACAAGGAGTTAACATTTTTACAAGAAAAAGTATTTTGGAACTTATTGAACAATTGTCACATATCATGTTAATTGCATCTTTTCAATAGCAACCTTTTTATGAAGCACATTTAACGATTTTCTCCAAAGCCTTTTTTTGTATTAAAAATAAATATTCTCTTCTTTTTAAGTAAATCAAAATCAAATATTCTCATAGCTAAATCTTTGCAACCTGAGACAGTGTGAACTTATCATATTTATAACTTTTAATTTATAGTTTGAAATATCAAAAGTTCACGATATCAGGCTTCAGAGACAAAAAAAATCAGTGCTTTTGTATGGATAGTTGTAGACATACAAAAAACAGGGTTTGTGACAAAAAAAAATAGTTTCATTTATTACTGAAAATGAAGTATTTGTATTGGTATTGGTAACCTATCTTAGCAATTATGTAAAAATTTCAGTGGACTAAAAAAGACATTAAATCTAGATACAGTTAAACTCCTCTTTCAAAGTATGTTTATTGTTTAAAGAAGAGATGGTGTACAGTGGCCGCAGGCAACTATACCCTATCTTATATCTTCCCAGTTTTCTCAGTATGAAAGATCTGTAATCTCTAAAGCAATGAAGGAATTTCATATTTTTAACATTTGTCTCATTCAACCATTGGAATAACACTTAAACTAAGTGCTGTAGTCAGCAAATGAACAAAACAATCTTTCTTTCAAATATTTTGAGTGTAAACGCTAAAAAAAGCATTTTTTTTTTTTTTTTTTTTTTAATACTTGTATTAATAGGAAAACTCATCTATCATTCTTATTTTTTACATCTATCTACCTTTTTCTTTTACAATAATTAAAAATCTTGCATCTTAAATTATTCAGTTTTTATCTTTATTTAAATTTTTTCCCCTGAGTATAAAATAGATAACTGGGGTGGAGGGAGGGGGGGGGGTTCAATCAGGCTATCTGAGAGAATTGATAGACTCAATGATACCTCCCCCTTCCCCCCCTGCGCTTATAGTATAAAGGTGAGAAAAATTCAATGTCAATAACAGAAAAAAGAAAGCTAAACTAAAACTGTTTAATTGTGTTTAATATACAAACTTAGACTGGGGGGGGGGCCCAAGTCGAAAAATTGACGGGGTCCCCCCCCCCCTCCCACAGTTTTTATCTCCCCTTGTGAATCAACTAGCTATAGACAAAAATCACAAATTAAGTGAGTGGGGAACAGGGGTGGGGGGAACGTTCTGTCCCCCCCCTCCCCTTTCCCTCCTCAAATAGGGTAAATCTAATATCCTCTTTCTTTTTTCATAATTGTAAAGATTATGAAAGTAAGAAACTAAATGAAGACAATCTAAAAATTGTATTAACATAATACTATAAAACGTCTGATATACGTATATACTTAAATGGTTTATCATTCTAAATATTTGATTTCTTTTTCTTTTTTATACATAACATGTTATCTTATTCCAAACAATTCAGAGGTCACTTTCTTTAAATTCAATTCCATCCTTCCTCCATCTTTTCCTTTCTAACAAATCAAAAAAATAAAAGGTAGTACAAGTATTTGGTGTAATCAATTGATAAATTAACAATTAAAATGTCAAAATATTACTAACCATGATGATAAATTAATATGAAAAGTAACAATGCTTTGGAGTACTGAAAAGGGAGAGAATTCTTTTCATATCCTAACACACTCTTCTTTCTGGTTACATTATTCTTCTTTCTCTTTTTTATACTCTTCTCTTTCTCTTCCTATCTTTGATCTATCCTACCATCCTATCATCTTTCTCTCCTTAACATTTCATGTTCCTTTCAACCATACTTATCACTTTCTCCCCTTAAAACTTCTTTATCCTGACTCCTTCATATCCTTCAATTCTTATTTTTCTATCTATGAATATAGAGCAAATTCTTTCTTTTTCTTTCTAAAAACATATTCCTTCCAATTTCATTCTCATCCTCTTTCTTGTGCTCATTAGGTATTATAGAGGGGGGGGGGAAGAAAAGGATGATTTTCTAGAATCTTTTTCTTCTCTCTTTGTTTCTTTCTTTTTTTGATGAATAATATTTTGACGCATTGAAATGGGATATGATAAGAATTTTTTCTATCTTTAAACAAAATATATGCTGACAAATATGAGGTAATGAAATTAGAACATAGTAATATGATATACACTGAATAAAATCTAAAGCACCAAATAACTCACTAGGGATGGTCATTGAAGTATTAACTTTTATTAAATTATTTCATACACACATTTTTTCACTTCGTAATAACACAAATTAAAAAAATGATGCCCATCCTTAGCAAACACAAAATTAGTTAGAAAAAGAATATAGCTAAAAGAAAGGACAAGTATAACGTAGAGTTAGAGTGTACATTGAGTAAATATCAGGAACAAATTCTACAGTTAAATCACAAGAGAATTTAGTTGAAAGATCTCATGAAAAATAACCAAAAAACCTGTCGCTTAAAATTAAAGAATAAACAACTTTATTTTTATTCACCAGGTGTTAATATTTCCTTTTTCTCCTTTTCGAGTGTTTTTTCCCCCTCTGTTTTTTATGAATTGAAACCTTCTCTAGGGCTGGGCGCGTTCCTGGTGGAACGATTGTTCTTTCCCGAGAACGAACGGAACGATCAAGAATGATCCCATCGTTCCGAAAAAAAAACGAACGCTTAGAACGCGTTCTTAAAAATGTTGGAACGATTAGTAAAAGAACGGAACGGAAGGTAACGGGAATTGCTTGAAAAGAACGGTTAAAATCGTTAACGCGTTCTTATTATCAAGAACGCATTCTAAGTTGGGAACGCATTTCAAATCAGGAATGTGTTCTTAAAGTAATTATTTTATTTTAAAATCGTATGTTTTTACTTTTAATCCAACTCTTTTCTATAAAACTTTTGTCTTGGATGGAATTGTTCTTTACTAAGAATAGAAAGAGGGATGGAAAAGTTCTTTGACTAAGAACGGAATGAGAGGGATGGAACCGTTCTTTAAATAAGAACGCCAAGAACGGAACGGAACGGGAAGTCCGTTCTTCTACTCAGAACGGAACGGAATGATTAAATAAAAAAGGAACGAGAACGGAACGATTTAGCTGAAGGCCCTCGTTCCAGAACGGAACGGAACGATTTCAAAAAAGTCGGAACGTGCCCAGCCCTAACCTTCTCTACTTAAAATTCTAGTTAGACCTTAATTCCTTATCAATTGGAAAGAAAATTAAAAAAGTAAAAAGCAATGAAAAAGAAAAAAAGCGATTACACAAATTATCTCTTTAAACAAGTAAAGAACTGGTCCCCTCTAACATGAGCCAGTCTCATTTTTAATTTTTTCGTAGTTTTTATTTTAATTTTTATCTCCTCTTTTTACTTTTAAACTTGTTTAGTTTGCGGTTAATAGTATTTAACAACATGAAACCATGAACTTAGCCAATGAATTTTATCTTTTATACATAATCAATATATTTATTCTTAATCCTTAAAACTAGTAAAATTTAAATATAGTAAGACAAAAATATGAGAACTTGAGAGCCTGCGAAGACAGTATGCGTACAACTTGGGAAAGAAGTATAAAAATCCTCAGGTTACCCCTGAACCCTTCTTTTTTTTTCTTTTTTCTCCTTCTTATTCTACCTCCTACAAAACTTCAACACTTACATCCTTCAACTAATATACCTTCAATCCAAACACCTATTCGCTAAAATCCTCACGCATAATAAAAAATACACAACTTATTGAATAGATCATCCAAATTATCAGAAACAAACAGTGACATAACATATGAGAATCACAACCTGGAATACCAGAAGCCTAGGAACGAGACAAGCCGGCATCGAAGCAACAAAGAAAAGATTCATAAACAATGCCAGTAATGACCAAGATCTCATCATTCTAACAGAAACCAGACATCTTGAACGAGAACCATTCAAGATTAAATGGATTAAAGGCAGAGAAACCATACTACAAACCCCAGCAAGAAAACCAAATCAATCTATAGAAGACGCAATAACTGACGGAAGGGAAGAAGAACCACATATTCCAAATGCCAACCCGATACAATGACACCCCCCGCCACTTAATGGAGAAAGGTGCAGAGGAGGGGGGGGAATAGTGTTCCTTGAAAAGAAAAAAGAAATGATAGTGTTAAACATTTCTGGAATCTGCCGGGACATGGCATTATTGCTCACATCCAACAGCACAAGACTACCAAGTTCTTCCTAATTGCTATCAATGCTCCAGTTGGTGTTGTACAAGCTGTACAATACAGAAGAAATTGAACATAATGTGTGAATATTCTCTCTCCCCCCCGCTCCTTACTGAACTGCAGGGACCCTGGAGAAGGATAAATTATATACATAGAATCCTGATTGTAAACCGGTATATGTACAGTGTATACTGTACAACAATAAAACTGATTCAAATACTTCAGTTTGCACTAAACCTGCGCTGCAACTCTTACATCAGAATTAATATTCAGGTATACAATTATCTGATATACTCACTCATCTTCTCATGAAAACATATTCGAAAGTCTATATTTCTATTCACTATTATAAGTTTTATAGCGCTGAGTTCGATAGTAAATACAGGTCCATTCAAAAACCATTACTCTCTAACAAGAAACAAACAAATTTATATTTATTCTATTATTTAGAATCGCTGGTAGAGGTAGAGTGGGCGTTCCTCTCTCCCCCTCCCCCCCTTTATACTTTGTCTCTCTGCGTCCTGAGAGCTCGGAGTATAGAAGCATTAGAGATGTCAACCTGCACAACCTCCTCGGAAAGGTCGTTATCATTTATTTCTGTCTTCTTATCTTGAAATAAATGATTTGTATAACTTTATTGCACAGCTGTATTTCTCTATCAGTGAATGCACTGAAATAATTCTGGTTACAAAAATATAGAGGTTTTTACGTATAGAGAAGATAATCCTCTTTAAACAAAATCTGGTCTATATGACAGTTGGACTTAACCAACAAAGAGCATTCTGGCAAACAACTGAACAAGAAATGACGATCTTCATCAATCAAAATGATCCAAACCACCAAACAGAAAGCATATTTATGACAGGTGACTTCAACCTTGATCCATCTGACATCGAAGACAATGTTATCTTACAATGTTTACAGAACATTATTCAAACGTGGGATATAGAAGATATTGGAAAGAAATATGGCAAAGACAAGCACACATGGAGAGGAGATGGCAACAGAGCTACTCAGTGCTCAAGAATTGACAAAAACCAGAGTCAACAGGCACAATGGCTGGTCTCACAAGACCAATCACCTTCTGATCACGAATGGATAACCTTCAAGATTAAAAAAAAAAAAAGTGTCAAGAATCAAACCAGAGTAAAGGATTTCATCTTACTTAAAGATGAATTTCTTCTACAAGCACAAGATGAAATAGCCCAAACATTAATACTTCACTCTGAAGAACGGCTGACAAGTCAACAGACCAACTTTGAGGATCTACTAGAGAAATACTCCAATCCAACTTAAGCAGAAAAAAAGTTAGAATTTAACCTGTAAAATAGTCCAGCAAAAATAATGAACCTGATTATCCACAAGGTCAAAAATGTGTACAATAAAGTCGCCAAAAAAGAGAAGAACAAGA